TGCGCGGCGCGGGTTGTGTGGTTGTGTCCCGCCTGCCTTGAGTATCCCCATGCACGACCGGACTTTTCTATTCTTGGCCTCCTGTTCTGGTATTTCATTTCGTTCTTCAATCTTTGAACACAGCCTTCCTCTTGGCCGGTGTCGCGTGCCGTTCTGTTCGCGGGGCTGTGGTTGAAGAAATGGGAAGTGCGGGGCTTGGCGTTCATTAAACCTTGGCGTCACGGGGTTTCGTTCATGTGGGGGGTGATTTTCAGCCTGCCTGCCGGGCCGCCGGTGAGTTTTTTTTCTTTTTTTTTTAGTGTGAAGTTTTTGGTCGGGGCGGGACCGGAGGGGTCCACCTTTTTGGGGCCGGATGTGCCGAGGGTGGTATTTAAACTGCCCTCGGCCCTTTTCTTGGCTTTAGAGTTGGGTAGAAGATTTGCGAACCAACTATCGCCATTTTTTCGGACCTCACGCCGCACGCGAGGAAGAAGGAAGACACGCCTGGGAGAAATACTTTGAGGATTGGGATACGCATCGCGATGGAGGGATAGGAAGGGGGGTATGGGTGTTGATTGAAAGGAACGAACGTCCTGACCTGCCTCCTTTCGGTGAAGCGATATTCTAAGGGGGATTACTGAGGGCGCGACCCGTGGAGGGATTGAGACGGACGGCACGGCGGCGGAGGTCGGTCATGACGGAGGCTTGTGGGGGGTGGTTCGCCGGCGGGACGGGGGGGATTGATTCGATTGGGCAGGGGACGTCGGGGTCTGTTCCGAGGAGCGGGCCGAGGCCTGTGAGGGTGCTTGGGGTTGGGCTGTGAGCTACTCGTTTGGGTGATGCTCGAGGGCAGATGGCCATGGTGATGGTGACGGTGACCTCGGGGGAGAGATTGGGGCTGCGGGATGTGGGTGGACGGGGTTTTGTAGGATTGGGCTTTTGGGTGTTTTTGGTGCGTGTTGATGGATTGGACTTTGATGCCACAGGGAATGTTTGGTTCTGGGGTTTCGGGCTGTCCTTTTCCTTTCTTGATTGATACGATGATACCTTGGCGACGGGGGCGATTTAACCCGGTAGAAGGGATTGGTTGCGTTTGACCATTTGATGGCCGATGGCTGGCGGTGAGCCTTATTGTTATAAGCGTCTGCGATCATACCAACTGCATGAACTTATCCAACTTTGCGTTCATGCTTGCAGAGCAGTTGGCTCTCAAAGTTGATGGGGGCCAACGAAATACTAGTGAAGGGAGTGAGGACCGTCGCTCGGTTTGACGTATGCCTGCTCATCATCCGCAGAGCAACATGCGCGAGATCGTGTCTAGCCATGCGCTTGCAGGAACTGTCTGTCCTGCTGTTGAGGGTGGGCGGGATGATGGAGAGTTTCGAGATGCGTCGTTCCAGATAGGTCGACTGTCCATCCGCTCAATATGATTTGCATGCGAGACGGCTAGTCGTTCGGTGAGTATGCGGTGCGGCCTGTGCGAACCGCCTTAGGTCCGACCATTCTGATAGATTATTTCTAGCCGAACTCGCATCCGGGTGTAGCAGCAGCTGAAGACCATGAGCCTCGTAGTTGCAAAGCGATGAAAAGTTTCAGAATTTCTGCCAGCCGGATCGTTTCCGTTCGGACGAGATAGAGTATAAAAACTCTCCCCCAACGTGTACCGAAACTTACTTGCACCACCACCATCAGCAGGCGCACATCGGGAGTTTAGCGGGAGGTTTAACGTTGCTCAAAACTGGGACGAGTCCCGACAAAACTCTGTTCCTTGTCTTAATTTGAGCATCTATCGGACTTCACAAAACCCGCTCTATCGCCCCCAAAAATGAAAAGAAATGTTTTTGGGATTCGTCTGTGAGACCCTGGGAGTTTTCATCCATACAGGGGCGCTATCGTGCGCTCGCCGAGCTGGCTCAAACCGCCATCGACGGATAATCCTCCCATATCCCATGCGTTCAGACTAAGCTTAGTTGCAGCAGCAGACCTGCGGAAGAACACATTAGTAACCATGTTCAAGGCCGAGCAGGCGCTACGAAAACATACCTTGTTACCGCGGCCAGACTTGGAGTTGCTCTGGCACTTGAGCGCGGCGCAGGCGGAACCATCCTTGTCAGGCTTGTTGCAGGTTCCGGCGGGCGCGCCCTGTCGCGCGACGAGAAGAGAGGCCTCGTCGACGGCGGAGAGCTCGTTCTTGGGGCCCGGGGCGGGAATGGCGACGGCCAGAGTGGCGAAGAGGGCGGCGAAGACGGTTGAGGCGCGCATTTTGATTATTGAGGGAGTGTTTGGGTTTTTCTTTTCTACCGGAGAAAAATAAAGAGAGTGGTATTAGTCGTGATTATTGAGTGAATGAAGACTGTCTGTTGCTGCTGATGTAGGAACAAGAGGTCGATGAGAAGAGGCATCGATGTGGTTTATATACAGCGGATTGATCGACTCGCGTCATTTGATCTCATGAGACGGATCATGGGGCTTCAGACGGGGTGGAACTCCCTCGCAGCGACGGAGAGGACCGATCCAAACTGCTGGGTAGCCTTCCCGTCCTTTCGTCTCGCCTTGCCCCCCCCCCCCCCCCGTGAGCGGCAGGTGCCCATGTCACAGCATGATGCGAGGCCTGCCGAGTTACGCGAGTCGCGAACCTTAGTTGCGTATTATGTGGGCTCCCTTCTTTTCTCTACGTCTTTACAGAAAAGTGCCCGGCTGAAGTGGTAAGATCGGCCCAATGAGGTAACACGTCGCCTGTCGTTGGTATGTTCTGGACGGCAGCGCTCGAACCAAGCATGAAGACGCCGTACCAAGTTTCAAAAGATGGGTGGTACGGGTTGGGATTGGGCGACCCCACGAGTCAAGACTTGGCGCTGCGGGCCTGGGCGAACCTGACGTTTATTTTTGGGGGCTGAGTTGAGTGACCTACATTACACGATCTAGAGCAACTTCGTCCGATAATGGGATACACACTGCACACGTTGTCTGAACCTGCGCACAGGTGCCTCTCATTCCTTTGAATTTTAAAGTTTTTCTCACAGCGATTGGATCGTGCGCGCTGCGGTGCCAGTTTGCGTCAGCTTGTTTCAGACGTTTTTCCTCTTTTCTCTTCTGGAAAAGATGAAACTACACGCGGCAAGCGCACATTCCACGTTTTGTCGGAGGATTTCTCTCTTGGTGAGGGCGCACTGGGTGGCGCACGCGCGCGTTTCGCAGTACATCCCAAGACCACGTTTGCTCCCACGTAACAGTAGAGGAATTTCACATTTAGAGTTTGGGGCGTTGTTTGCCGCCTAACCGACTAGTGAATGCTACGATCGCGAAACCTCCGTTAAAGTCCGCTTAGAGCAGGTTCACGCAGCTATGTTGTAGTCTTGCCGTATTCCGGTCGGCGGTATTGAACTGGCTGGTCGGTTGATGGAGACGAATGGACCAGTTAGATGTGCTGCTGCAGGTCAGCGACTGCCTGATGCGGAAGGAGTTGAACAGGGGCCGACAGTATGGCTACGAACTCTCTTTGAGTACGGCGAGTTGCGATGCTTGCGAATGGTTCGTAGAATAATATTTTGATGGCTGCAACGGCGATGTTCATTGATCGCAATGGTTGTGTATTCTTGTCAATGGGGCCGTCGGAGCTGTGATACAGACTTCCTCCTATCAGCACGTCACAGGCCAAGTCGTATCGTACGGCGCGCATATTAGCGGGTCGAAGGGGATCCAAACTCTATTCAGGATTCGCAGCAATGATACCTATTCTGACAGGCGCAGAAGAGAAACGTCTCGTGGGATATTTCCGTACGGGGGACGGTCCATTCCGTGTGCTGGGTCCCTGAACGCGGAAAAGGGGGCCCCACGCGTCGCTCTTCTCCGGGTCCGCGCGGGAATACTCGAAGGCCGGCCGCGGATATGATGGAGTGGACAGCAGTGTCTCAACAATAGTTGGGGGCTTAATGGATTGGCTGAAGGCCTGATGAGGTTGATTCTCGCTCTATTGAGTTCTAAGGATGATTCGGCTTGTTGATCTGGAGGGTTTACTTTAGGGTTGCTTGTCGGGAGGAACAGTCGAAGCCATGAATCTGGATCTGGCAGGTTCGCAACGTAGCGTTATTGCAGCTGACTCTTGGGATCGACAGGAGTCTCTGCCCAGGTTGATCTGTGCGCTGTTGTCAGCAACTCGGATTTAATCCGGTGGCAAGCAAAGAGCTGATGCCTGCAAGACTGGGGCTTTGCAACACACCCTTACTCAAGTTCAAGTGTGTTGATCCCTGTCAATGGTCAGTAGCCCAAACACGTTGAAGAGTTAGAAGACTGTGCCTCTACCGAGACAAGCTTGCTTGGATACTAAGGTAGGAATTGGGAACTCATAGTTATTTTCTTTGATACCTCATCCGAACTGCGTTCCACCGAGAGCTTGCTCTTTCTCGTATCCGGACTTCATCTTGGTATACCACGCTGCAAGCCGTGCTCAATCTTGAGAAACTCCAGCCGTGAAATCTCGTCTCACCCAATAAGTCGTCTTACTGGGTCTAGAAGTTCCAAAAAGTGGCCGCGGAATTTCGTAAAGTCGGACATAGAGTTTGAGCCCCGTTGGCCAGGGATCTACCCTGTGAATAGCGGTTGCGACCTACCCGCTCAACAGGCCCTGGAGAAGTCCGTAATGAGACATGACTAGAACTCAGAAGCGATTGAATCCAGACCGACGGAGATCGTATGACCCACCCCGTTCATCATGAAGTTGGGAATAAAGGCAGTGATTATGCTATCTTGTCCGGTTCGGCGTAAACGCAAATCCGAGATGAGCGGGCTACGGGGCAAATGCGATACAAGTTTTGTTTTTCTTTTGCAGATGATGAGAGATCACAATGAACTTTGATAATCCAACTTGAAATGTTGAACGAAAATGACATTTTAGTACGGAAATACGCGACGTAATCTAAGGATACAGCACAGCCGGAGAGGCAAAGGCTGAGACAAATCACAAAAACAATTCCACCAATGAAGCTATGTCAGCAGCCCGGTTCGATGGCTTATGAGCGGCTTTACTCCTCATCGTCAAATTCAACATCCTCCTCGAAGTCGACGTCAAAGTCCTCCTCGTCCCCATCCTCCTGACGGCGGGCGTGACCCTTCTTATTGTTCGTGGCATCATCCGCAGCGGCGTCGCCGCCCTTGGGGCTGCGCTTGTTGCCAGACTTGTTCTTGTCGTTGTCGTCGACCTTGGTGGTGCTCTTGTCGTCGGAGCCAGACGTGGAGGTGGTGGTCTTGCCGCTGGACTTGGTGCTAGACTTACCGCCCTTGCGGCCCGAGGCGCCCTTGTTGTTGTTCTTGTCGTCCTGGGTGGTGGACTTGGAAGCGCTGCTGTCGTCGGCGCCTACGGTTCTGGGAGCCTTGCCGTTTGCCTTGTTGTTGGTGGCGTCATCGGCGGCGGCATCGCCTCCCTTGGGGGCTCTCTTGGGGTTCTTTCCGTTGCATTTGTTGTTGCCGGCATCATCCACAGCAGCATCGCCGCCCTTAGGGCTTCTCTTCGGGTTCTTGCCATTGGCCTTGTTGTTGCCGGCGTCATCAGCTGCAGCATCACCGCCATTGGGGGCTCTCTTGGGCGTCTTTCCGTTGGCCTTGTTGTTGTTGGAATCGTCCAAAGCCGCGTCGCCTCCCTTCGGGCTTCTCGCTACAACGGTAACAACGTCGGGGTTGGTGCCGGTGGTGGTTCCGGGGGCGGGCTCCACGCAGACGCCGTTCTTGCGCTTGCACGTCTTGGGGGCACGTTGCTCCAGAGCCATGCCGGCGCCGGAGATGTCGGTAGATCGCTGCAGAGTGTTAGATTGTGAAATGCGAATATATACATTAAGTACTTGCCTCGATGAGACCAGCATCGGAAGATCCAGCGATTGGAATGGCCACGGAAGTGGCGGCGAAGAAAGCCATGCCAAGAGTGGCGACCTGGGCGATACTAGGAGCGTGCATCTTGACGAATTGGTGCTGGTGGATATGAAATGAAAGTTGAATAAATGGGATGATATCGAAGAGAAGGAAAGTGGTATTCAAGTGTGATCTGAAGAGTGATTGTGATGATGAGAGGCAAAGGATGTTGAGGAGACTGGGAGATTCTTGACTTATATATGTAGAGTCAATCTCAAGGAGGCTTATTCAGGAAACTTTGATTCTCATTGCCGAAGCTATTTTCAAGGAGATCTAGACTCTACCTCCAGTCATAGCAAGCGAATGTGGGAATTGGATAACCTGGTCTAGGCATCGTGAGGCCAAGCTTATGGCGCTTGTCTAGAATAAGCTGGAAGCTAGGCGAGGAGTTTGCGCGCGATCCAGAACCCCTACTCCCATGGCCCTCAGCTGTCCAGACCCGACACTCTGGCACCAGACAGATGTTGCCAAGTCTAAACATTCATGGTATGAGACGTGCCCTTCCGGTGGGATCTAGCGTGCTCGTCGCCACGCTATGCACAGCCCACGTGCGAAAAGGGTGTCAGCAACAGACGAGCGAAGTCATGGAGGGGCAAAAACTTCTCTTTTGGGAGTCTGAAGACTGGCACACGTCTATCTTACCGTTTATTCTTTCCGAGGGTCGTATTTCGAGCATCGTGTCTCCTGGTCTTAGATCTTCCTCCAAGGCCGTTATCTCTCTCTCCATGACCCCGTCCTCTGCGTCATGTGCCGATATAACTTATCTCTAGAAATTTTGACATGTTAAGAGGGACTTGAGGAAGACACCTGGCTGGTGAGACACCTGCCACTCACGATGGATCCTTTCAGCCGGCTGCCTCACCGTCCAAGCACCTTGAGGATCATTAAACGACCACTTACACCGGGGGCGCCTCGCGAAACTGTAGGCTAAAACTGCTGTTACAGACCCCCTCGGCTACAGAGGCCTCAGACGACGCTGGATCTCAGCTGAAAGCCACTCGAGCCGAGGGGAAATGGGAGAAAACAACCGATTGGGAAGTCTAGCTCAGGGGAGCCCGGAGTGTGGCGCGCGGGGGCGGCAAATTTTAGGTGTTAGCTCCCGTTAAGCGGCTCGCGGGGTGGCTAGTGCCAAGACGGCGCGGAAACGTTGCCAAGTTTGTTCTCACGCTGTTTCACTACCGATAATCGACTGCCGCTGTGCTTTGGTCGTGTCCAAGTTGAGACGGAAACCGAATACCAAGAGTTATAGGCAGTTTACCGTAACGATCGGGTGAATTCTTCAGCTTCTTCGGGCCTCGTTGTTCATGATGCATGACACCTACGGGGCAGTCGGCTTAATGTGGGCTATGGTAGAAAATGTAAAGGGAGTCAAGATACTTTGGGTCGCTGCCTTGGAGACCGCATTCTGAATTACAGAACAAGCATTTCCGTCCTCGCAGTACCTTCGCTGTTGAAGGCAATAAGGTGACCTCCAGACGGCGTTTACTTTAATAGGTTATCCCAAGTAAGGTTGCGCCACGGAGAGCTATTTTGGTGGCTGAGTTCTGGACCACAGCATCAGAGGGCTTGCTCAGCAAGCCACACGAACGCCATGCCGGCAAATCATCTGGGGTTCCAACTCTACCTTCGGCTGGACTTGCTGAGAGCTCGGTAACTTGGTGTCATATTCAGACGTGGTCATAATTAGTAACGGATTATTCAGAACTGACTGCTGAGGAGGTGACATCACTAGCAGCGACATATGGCGTTTCTGAGGGAACAGAGGGCACGCGAGCTGAGGCTGAAATGTGTCTCCTTGGGACGTCTAAAATTCTAACTGCGCGAGACACCAGAAATTTAGTATGACGGGAAAGTGTAAATGATTGAGGAAAGGGATGACGGCAGTGTCGCAGGTTGGTGACCGAGAGTTACTTTGGTCGAGCATGAACCCCACGTGCAAGATTTGGCTGTCCTCTCGCCCCATCCCAGACATCCGGCATCCCGAATATGAACAGAACCATGTGCTTTCTCTGGATCTCCAAACGACTTCGAACCACGAGTGAGATCCAGAGGTCATATTACCAACATGAGAGCTTCAATCGAAATTGTTGCACATGTGTAAATGACGGGTAATTGGGTCATAGGGTTGCCCTATCGGTTATCTTTGGACACTTTGAAAGCGAACAATGCTTTGGCAACGCTTCAAATACCCCATTTTGCCGCTGAGTCTTACGGTGGCAAACCACGTCGTGGCGCTGGCAAATGGAAACCAGACACCGCCAAGTTGCGCCCTCAACGCTCGGTGCAGCGCCTCAGCAGAGGTTACTGAAGCCTGCCAATAGCACGGTGGTAAGGGCTTTCGAAAGGAAAGCCTCCTGCCAGGCGATTTTACCCGAAGTATGTCCTTCGAGAAGACATGTTAGGAATGGTCTTGCTGTCCGGGCGGGTAGTAAGCACAAACAATGATAGGGGCAATAAAGACGACGATGGCGATAATAATAGGAATAGGGACGGCAAGGACGACAGGAACGACACGGAGAATAGAGACAAAATATAATTAATCCTGAGTACCTTAAACTATTTGACCTAAGATAACAGTTATCCGCCCAGATAGCTAGAAATGCCTGTCCGGACGTTAATACTTATGAATGATTAATTCATGGTCCCTCAGGACCGGGGCTTTACTATTGTCTTAGTATTTAAAGACAACAATGGCGATGACAGGCAGTTAGAGAATAGCGACGATGAGAACGAAAACAAAACAGAAATTTTGCTTCAATGAAAACGAGTGCGAGATCCAAGAGATGTTCGCGAGGAACGAAGAACAGAGAGATAGAGTAGAGGATCAACTACGGGTATGTGTTCTGATATAGCATACAGCGCAAAGAATGCATTCGCCTCCACTGCCATCTTGCCCTTTTAGGAACCATATTAACCTTATGTGATAGATGATCACAGGGATTTCTCGCTCATTTGATGGGCGTCCGAGATCATCAACTCACAGCTGCCACTGTGCTGTCTGTTAATAGATTCATCCTCGCTTGGGCTTTCCTGCCCAAGCATGATCAAAACATGCTTTGAAATTTGAGATACCTACTAAACATGTCATCAGACCAGAGGGTGAGAGCTTGAAGCGAATTCTCAAAGCAGTTGGTCAAGACATGAATGTTGATTCAGTGTACGCTTGCTCGCTTCCGAAGCTGCCGGAGAAGTAAGGCGAATCAAATTATTTCGAATTCTTTAAGGTCGGGAAAAGGAACTGTTGGCGCGATCGTACCGGACTCTTTGGAACTTCAGGACGATCTTAGGACCGCTGTTGCTCTCGGCATTTACAATGGCAACCTAGCAGGTACATATTGTTTTGGCAGAGATGAGAATAACCAACACGGGTGATGTACAGGAATTGAATGAGTCTGCACCATTGGAACAGGGACCACAGAGCCCAGAAGTCAGTCCAGAAAGGTCTGGACCCTGGAGGCTTGGCTCAAAGCTTGGTTAAAGCTTGAACACAACGTTCAAAGGTAGCTGATTCGTGGCAGATGAGCGAATGACAACATCCGAAAATTTTCCCGCCCCGAGCCAGCCGGCATCGGTTGAGGTAACTACTCGATTTAATTCACTGATGCTGCTCTCATTAAGATTTCGATAGCCTCACTTTTCTTTTTGGCTTCTCATATCTTCGGCGAGGATTTCAGTTTTTCTGTTCGCAATATTGTACTATACGAGTCAAGCTGTCACCCTAGGTTGAAAAAGGGCTCGCAGATGACATTCACTCAATCAAAGTTCACATGTGAGGGATAAATTCTGCTCGCAGTGTGATGAGAGCCCCGCAGTCTTCTAGCTTGTTCAGTTGACCCTGAGACCTCATGAGTGTTGCAAGATAGGTTACCGTCGCGACTAACAACGGCTCAATTGACAACTATCAGCCGCATATGAACGGTGAATAATAACCAGATGAAATTCTGACAGATGCCAGAAAGCGGGATACTCCAATGCAAACATTGCCATTGTATTGCACACTGAATTTGGGCTTCCTTTGTTGCGTTCGACTCACCAGAGTGGACGGGCCACCGATGGGAGGACGCTCGTCAAAGGACCCATTAGCTTCAAAGGTGAACACATAGGCGAAGAGCCATGGAAACTCTCTTAAAGTCACAAATTGACACTATTCTCAAATCCGGATCATCGGCAGCAGGTCGGAAGTCTCGGTCGGCTTCTGAGTCCATGTCCTGAGCTAGGCAAAATACGCCTCCCGGAAGCTTTGTATCATGGGGAATGAAGTCGCTTTCGGGTTGGATCATGAACGCAGTGGATATCTCTAAGTTGGTGGCTTTTGTATAAAGAGTTGCCATCTTTCGTCGTAGGTTCTCACAATTATCATTCAGAGCACACTGGTTTTCAATCTAGTCATTCCTTCATCATAAACAGACTCACAATCGCTACTCATTCGTTCTTTTGACAATCTGTCTATCCTCCAATTCACAATGTACAACCAAATCATCCATTCTGCGGCCCTCATCGCTGCTGGTCTGCCAGCAGTTCTCGGGGCCGTTGCCGCTCCTCTTGAGCGCAAGGCTGTCGAATGGGTTACCACCACTGAGGCCATCGACCTCTCTCAGTTGGGAACTATCTCGCTCGACTTCCAAAACCCGAACCCTGTCGATGTCGTAGTTAGAGACCTCGAAAAGCGCAGCTCTTACTCTGCTCTCGTCTGCAGAAGCCGCCGACCTCTTCCCCGCAGCGGCGCAAAGTGGCTGTACGAAGAGGCCACCTGCGACCGCACCGGAACGGACGTCAACACCTTCAAGGTCACTTGCATTGCCGAGAACTCGCACGCTGACGCCATTTACCGCCAACCGGGAGCCTGCGGCAAGAATCAGTGGTGTGTCGAGTTCCACGGCTACAATGAGCGCGGTGCCGGCGCTCGGGACGTCACCTGTGTCGACAAGTCGCAAATCCACACCTGGGTCGCGAACACCAACTCCAACCCCGGCAAGCTCACCACCTGCATTGCTGGATGGAACAACAACGGCAAGCGCAACCTCAAGGGGACCTTCGAGGTCGAC